GTCCCCCAAGCTTTCTCCTAACCTAATCCTACATTCGGCAGCATCAGTTTCTATTTATTTATTTATTTGAACACATATATATTGATACAAAGGGGCACCAGAAATATATGCGCCACATAATAACAATGAGAATGTGAAAAAAAGAATGCTAGATGCGTATAAGAAAAAGGGGAACAACAGCGAACAAAAAGTAGTATATGATAGTGAAATAACAATAATGGGAGGAGCAGTTCGGTTAAGAAAGGTACAACCAGAAAGAATTCTCCCAGTCAAAGAAGATACATACATTTATTTATGAAGAAAGTAAAATAAATTTACAGCAGGATCACCATTGGCTTCTATTATGAGCCATATCTGATAACATGTCTAACCACTGTGTTACACCATCTCTCGGACCACAACCACGGGGTCGTGAAGGACCAACACAAGCCAGCCTCTTTACAGCTTTCTTTCATATCACGATAACTTACCATACACTGGCCACCTCTCCGCTTTCTCCAATCAGTCCTAGAGTCGGCAAATAATGCACGACGTGAAATTCTCTGGGACAACATTCGTACAACATGTCCAAGCCACCGAAGTCGGTGTTTCAATATGGTGACACCAATTGAATTATTGTCGCTGAGCCCGAACACACGATACCGAACCTCTGCATTACTAACATGGTGTTGCCACTGGATGTCAGCAACCCTTCGGAGGCAACGATGATCGCACATCCTCAACTCGGATAGGCCAGGTTTCACAAGCATAGAGCAGAACTGCTCTCACCAACGCGTAGTAGATCAGACCTTTCACAGCCAGACTGACATCACGAAGGCGCCAAAGATGGCTCAGATTGGTATAAGCCGCTCTGGCTTTGACTATACGTGAATCGATTTCATCACTCACACCACTAGCAGAACTTACCGCTCAGTAAGATAATATTATCCGCATACTCAAGGCTGAGAAGTCTTTCTGCAGGCAGCAAATCCACACCGTCATTACCTACACCCAACAGAGCTGTTTCCAGAATGTCATCGATGGCAAAATTGAAGAGGAATGGTGAGATTGGGTAACCCTCTCTAACCCCACTGCTCGAATGGAATAATGGAGAAAGGTGGTTGTATGCCCTCACTCTGTCTGAGGTTTTTGAATATAGGGCTTTTAGAATGTTAATAAACTTCTCAGGCACGCCCTTCTTCAATAGACAATCCCAGAGAACAGTCCTGTTCAACCAATCGGAGGCAGCCCTGATGTCAAGAAACACTACGATTGTTGACCTTTGATAAGTATGGCGGTGTTCTAACATTTGGAGTAGGGTCAAGATATGACCAATACATCCTCGACCAGAACGAAACCCAGCCTGCTTCTCGTGAGTCAATCTTTCTCGGGTTTTGAACAACCTACGAAGTATGATGGAAGCCAATAGCTTGGACGCAATCGGAAGTAGATTTATCCCCCGATAGTTGTTACAGGAACGACATGAACCCTTTCTAAAGATAGGGAAAACTATCGACTCATTATATGACATTGGAACACTCTCTAGTTCCCACACCTTTGTAAACAACGCAGTCAGTTCCTTAGTCAGAAAGTCACCACCATCTTTAAATAGGGCCGTAGGTAGGTCATCTGGACCCGGTGACTTGTAGCGCTTCAAGAGTTGGAGTTCCTTGAGGACTTCCGCCTCATTTGGTGGATCAGTCGTCACAGGCCATGGAGGGGAGGGTAGTCTGATTGGTGTTGCCGGAGCAGCAGGCCAGTTGAACTGCCCTTCAAAAAATTCTGCCCATCGTCCAAGACGTCGATTGATGATAGTGATTGGCACCCGGTCATCTTCACAGATTGCTCCAGTCAGTCAGTCAGTAACAACTTAGAACTTCGTACGTACGTACATCAGTTCGAGTTGCCACACCACATTAGCACAGAGATGCAGTGGTCGATTCAAATCCCGTAGTGGTAGAGGTAATAAGAGTATAAGCAGTAATCATGAAGATTAGTGTTTGGAGATGTTACTTAAAGAGTATAGTACAGTGAAATAAATTTGGGGAGAAAAAAAGAGACAAGGAGGAATAAGGATATCAAAATTTGGGAGAACACAAAGAGTGTATGCACCTGCGCCATTGCAAACGATTTTGAGCCATGTCATTCAGGGTCTCTAACCATCGATTGCTCCGCTCACACCAGACTTCCTGCCCGTGGCTCGGATGAGTTGAAAGAGCTTCCGGCAGTTACCAGATGCGGCTGCTGCTTCCAACTCATTAGCACGCTCCTACCATCAAGCTTCTCGGTCTTTACGCAAGCTTTGCCCAATTTCATCACTAAATGAGGTTAAGCATATATAATACATGTCATTCTAAATTTATAATTAAAGTACTGAGTGAAAATTTAGCTGCCTATGTATAGTAAATTGACAGGGGCTACAGTATATCATGTTTTCTAGGATCTGTCTCTAAGAAATGGTTTGTGATCAAGTGCTTGAATAATAGGATGTAAAAAACATGCGAATCAGACCAATTATTATGCCAACTACGTCTTTTTATATACTGAACTGATTGGGGTCGATAGACTTATCTCTGATTTATATAAACTAGATAGCAACTCACTTCATTCAACCAGTAATATTAGACCATCATATTTTAAAACTACTGGGGACAACTCAATAGCTTCTTTCGTATTTAGGCTTACCACAAACGTTGAAACAACAGTAAGAAGTAAACAAATGATGCATCAATTAGTGTGGCTGAGATAGTGGAGAAGATTTGTAGCTCAGGTTGATGGTTTCGATAGAGTTTTGTTCTCTGAGATGGATGGTTTGGTCATGAAGATTTCATCGTTCTTTTGTCAAGTAAACTTCTACCTGAAGTTTGTGCTGATAACGTCAACCTCGTTGACAAATATTATCTGATGGCCATGTGCCTAGTCAGAAGAAATAAGTGCGGTATTTTTATATGTAGTAGTGGAATATTAACTGGATTGATGTACGTATGTAATTATACCGCAACTACCTAGAAAGGCGTTTACGAAAACACAACTGGGAGGCTTGATGTCCTCTAATCCATGAACCTCGCCCTATCATAAAGCGAAAAACAGCAATCGGTTGTCAGTAAACAAAGTTCCAAAACAGAGACACACAAAACGACACCAAAGTTCCAAAAACTTAACAAGAGTTTAGATTGCCGTTGCTCAAAAGCGATAACGAAAAGAAAACGGCAAAGGGATTTCGAAATACACGATAATGATAAACATCAGAGACTGGCCTTTCCCTTCCTTATAATGATTGAAAATATCCGACGTGTTTTTTGTCTGTCAAATATAATATATCTTAGACATTATTTCTCCTAGTATCTATACTTAGTAAAAAATGAAACAGCTAATTATATTGACCGATTTTAGTTTACAGTTGCATCAAACCTGATACACTTTTTGACGACTAAATAAAAGTATGAATAGAAGATATAAGCTAGACGTTTGCCAGCTTACACATACTTTTGAGTAGACAAGATATCCCCTTGCCTAAAATAGACCAGTATCGTCTGTATTAATAAACATTTATTTTGTAGAGTTTTTCTGTTATCAGCGCTTACTCGGATTTGAAACCACAAAACTTAGAATTTATCGAATGGCTAAACCTTTATATTCACTTCTTAATTATAATACAAGGATACACTTTTTGGAATAGTACATCTTGGGAACACCTTTGACAGGCAGTGAAGCTAACTAAAGAACCTTAAAGCACGATTAAACCTAAGAAGAGCAATGAACAGGAAAGGTACGTAAGATATATTAAGCACTTAGAGCTATTGTTTGTCGCCGTTGGATATAATGCTGATACACGAGTAGATCCAACTAGTGTTGAGGGAGACTACCATTTCAATCACAGTATTCGCTTCTCTGTCAGTAACTTGTGCACGTATTTAGTTGACCAATTCCACAAGAGAACATAAATGTAGCTACTCATCATGACGTATCAATATTTTTTCAACTTTTTCCTAGCTCTGATTGTGTAATGGATAAATAAACCGGAAACAAACACGAGTGCTTGTAAGTATTGTATTTTCGGAGATAGATGGTCTAAAATGACCATAAAAAATTAGCATTTACGAATCATTAGAGATCACTAGCTAGACTATTCTTTTCTCTTTCTTCTTAGTCATCTTTTACTGAATGTGGAACTTGCTTGGAGAACACTGACGTAAACGCTTGTAAAAATGTTATTCACTTGTAGAACCCTACCCCCAAATGAAATTATCTGATTTTCGAACAGTCGTACGATCTTCAGATAGCAAAGACTTGTAGCTAGTAAGTTATATTATGTCTCACTATCAGTGATACCACTACTACTTCACTTCGTCAAATTCGTTTCACTGTGATGACAAGTTATGATAACTTGAGATGATGTAAGTTTGTCAAAGGTTGCATGTTGGTTACAAATGGCTGACAACCAACATTACGCGAAAGCGACGAAAAATCATTTGTTATATTAGCGTGTAACTCAAAATAACTTGTGCAGTAACAATAAATCTAAGGTCAATCGTATTTTTATAACATTATTCAGGAGAGTTGACCATCCCAGATTGTAAGAATAAAAAGCAATCTAGTAACAACTACGAACATACACTTGACTAAAAACGCTCTCCAAATAATAATTCTTAAAGCTACCTAACTATAAAGTGGAGTCAGAGTGCATTTTTAGTTTCTAGGAGAAACACTGAAGTATTTAAGTCCATATAATCCTGCCTGACCTGGTGGAGCACTTTCATTGCAATGAAAGCAAGAAAGATGACTGAAACGAGTTACTAAATGCACAAATAACCATAGAAACCCCGAGTACTGAATTCCAGCTTGTTGAATAACAAAAACAGGCATTGCTTCAATGTAATTTGAATTAACTAATTTCAGAACCAACAGATACAGTTTACATTGTCAACGAATGTGGTACCATTTTGGATTAAATTCTATAGATGAAATAAATACTTAAATAAGAGGATCTGACAGTAAGATTGGATATACTATAAACTTACTTAACGTCTAGTTAAAAACAGTAACGTTACAATTTGAAAACCGCGGGTCTATTTCCCAATTTTTAAAACAAACTCTTAAATTGGAAGATTCTGACTTAAGAAATGCTTCCCTGAACGTCTCACAAATTATGATTTGTGGTGAGCATCGACTTCTCTCATATGTGTGAATATCCAATTGACCAATCAGTTTCTTGCCCATCATTCCATGGTTCGAGTAAATACATTCTTTATCATATTTTAGGAATGTCGTCGTTTCCCATAGTTTAAAGTCCCTTCATATGACAGAAACTGCAAAGTCTCACTTGAAAAGAGTATGGGAGTCTATGAAAAGATCGCGCAGGTTTGATCGTGACAACTTGGATACTCCTTTGAAAAGATGTCTAACAGCTTTCGACCTTACCCTTTTGGGTATAGGTAATACAATTGACCATTACTTCATATTTCTTGTTCACAGGAAATATGGCAGGAGCTGGTATTTACGTCCTAACTGGTACAGTAATCCGTGACAAATCTGGACCGTCTACTTTTTTGTCATATTTGGTTGCTGGTGTAACAGCCTTCTTAAACGCTTTGTGTTATGCTGAGCTTGGTTCACGAATACCGAAGGTAATTCTAGGGTATTTTCTGTTCAGTTGTTCTCAATTCATTATTCTATTAGGAACTAGTTTATAATGCTTTTAATAATCGTGTTTTATTTGGAAACTTAATCACTATTTTCGCAACGTAAATCAACACAAATATCTAAATCTAACTCTAATATAGATAAAATATTTATCTAAGGAATAAATGTTTCGAAAATAATTCCTAATCTCTAGAAACGTTGCTTTCCATTTCTTTGAATTGTATTTAAATATTTAGGACATCTGTAATATTTCCATTGTTTTTCCCAAGGTTACATTTAATATTTGCACGGCAAATTTATTTTAGATGATTAAGAGAGCAAATAGGTTTGTTTTAATCATCAACATTTGTACTATCCGCATCATCTGAGTAAAGTTACTGATATTTTGTTAAAATATTATCATGGATTTCACCTCCATTCCTTGTGCGCTATATTCTCGGTACAGCCTCACAGCGAATACAAAGATTCCTATTCTTATTTGAATGTCAGTAAATGAGAAAATTCACATTGTTTGTAATTGTGAAAATAAAATGCAGTTAACATCCTCAGTAACTTGTAGAATAACAATGCAGAACCTTTAAGTGTTTTGTAAAATCACATTGAAACCAGTAATTGTAATCGATAGTCATCATGATAATTTTTAATGCAGTTGACTTTTAGTATTTAGTTTGGTATCATTGGTAACGGAATTCATACAAGAAGTCAATTTATAACTATGCTTGATTTTGACTAAATAGCCTTGGATCGGCTAAAATCTTTCACCAGTGAATTCATAATATCTTCCGTATGAAATGTGAATGTGTTGGTCTAGAACTTTAGAACATACCTATGACGTTATTGTTGCTGAGTTCTAATGTGGAGTAAAATGATAGTTCAATATTTTCTGGTTTTCAGTACTTTTATCTGTGATTAAAACAACATTTAATCTAATGTAGTCATGTGTAAGTTGCTATAAGCTGACGAGTAAAATTTAGTGGCCAAAATTTCACATGGGTGATAATTAAGATAACGGAATCGATCTCTGAATTCTTTTGTATTCACATGAGTTTGATTTACACTTATAAGTTTTGGTATTATCTGCTGTGTTTAAAAAAATAACTGCTCATATGGTAGTAAAATTGCCTGACAACTGTGGGTATATAAACTAGAAATTCACCATTAACCGTACATTCAAGTATTAAAACATTATGTCACTTTTCTATCTCTTCCATCTGAGCCCTTACAGATGATAAATATTTCGAACATGACAATCTATGGGCTGAAGTGTTTACCAAATATAATCAGCTTCAGATAAATAGTGCTATAGATATTTAAAATTACATAGACCTTAGTGTTAAATAAGTACAGTTTGGTAGTTCTGAATATATTCCCTCATTTCACAATCTCATTCATTCTACTTTTAAAACCTAGCTTTAAAAATAAGGGTAACTTGGGTTTGGGTCTTTCATAAATTTTATTTATCTGAATTAGGAATTGTGTTCGTTGTTCAGGTATTCGAAAAACAAATGTTTTTATTACTACTGTTTATCCAAGATGCCATGAAAAAGATATATATATAGCAAACAATAAACAACTAATTAAAAACATAGTCCAAAAAATGTAGGAAAATATTTTTCATCCTAACGACGATTTAGATCATTTGAACAAATCAATAGATAAATCCTAGTCTTATTCATATCATAGTAGGAATTGAATATGAGATTATATTAATGACAGATGAGATCAAATCCAAATAAGCATGCAACTAATAATCAACATTATTTTATTATTTAGTTATATTAGTTTCAATCAAAATAAATATTAGTTCAGGTTTTCGGTAGATTCAAACAGGAATAGCAATTCTCAAATCAATAATTTGTAATTAAGGTTTAATCGATAAATTCATTTACATGTTGGCTTGCAAATCTGAGGCCAGGGAGCAGATTCATTCATTATACAGTTTAGAATTTGTCTGCATAATATCAGTTCTCAATGAAAATCTCTTTCTTTCATGTTTTTTTTTCGAAAATACTTGCTGAACTTGGCCTAACTTTTTCATACTAATTTTGTTTGTGTTTCGGGCTGATATTTTGTTTTTCTAAATCTCAAAATACTGTCTAATTTGCATGTTAATTAATTCATTTTTACATTCACATTACATCCTGCATATAAGCAATACATGAATTTAATTACAAATTCAAAATACATATTGAGATAGGTTTGACATTACTGAAAAATTTGATAGTGTTTCCGATCGTTATTGGGTTGTAAGCGCTAAATTCTCTAAAATATGGCTCAACCGATATACCAATCTAATCATAAACTTCCTAACAGGTTATGCTTGCAATCATTACTTAGAGTCAGATAAACTTCATAAATTTAACTCAACAATCCTTATTGGTATTACAGTGTTCGATTGTAAGACGAAGCCTGCTTTTGTACAAAGCTCACCCTTCTTTAATACTTATTGTTTTAGGCTGTTGATTGTTTCATATTTGAAGTTTTCATGATGATTGTCTGCAAATGGAGGTATTGAAGTTGTTCAACAGACGTTATTCCTTATGTGTACTGTCGTTAATGAAGTGATTCGAACTATATAATCACCTTCCCAAGTGTTATGATACTAGTCTACTGAATTACTGTGCACACTTGATACGTAAAAGGCTATTAAATGAGACCTTGATTTGTTCTTTAATATATCTGATTCATGCTGCATACCTAAGTTTCTTGAAAAATTACCTCACTTCATCATTTTTGATTGCATCTTTCTACTTTAATTGTGAGATGGATAATCATCATAGCATCTTATTTTAACAACAATAACAGCAAACATTCTTAGCTCATTTATTATCGTCGCTTTTACTATCGTAAAACTCCCATGTGGCTGCAACAAATCCAGACCGGTAATTGTTTTATACTTGACCTTGAACTATAAATAAACTAGTGAATTTGATGCGCATAAACATCACGACCATAAGGTTAGTATTCCCTTCGCATGTGTAACTAAAACAACCATTCAATTCGTGTGTATATTTATTTCTGTATTTTACTGCACACAGTATGAAGTAAATAATCATCATATAAGCCGAGACATTGTAAATTCTGGTTCACTACTAATTTGATAAAACTGTTAGTATTATATAGCGGAACATCAGGAAAAAATATCTGTTTTGTTATTCACGTATAGGAAAATACAAATTTCTAATTATAATGAATAACATTTGCCTAATGCCCAAAGTTTTTCAAACTATTGAATCTAAACGTGATTTGGACACAGCAAAACAATCATGTTATTTGTTTTTTATTTGTTATTATTTCCATTAATGAATACTACATGCAAATCAGTCAGCCATAAGCAACGTAAGACATGTAAAAGGATTATTGAACTAGCTTTTAATATATATATATATATATATATATATATATATATATATTTCATCTCAGTATGAGGCTGTGGAAATTGTCGAATTTCATTGAAATCGTGAAAATATCTAGGTTAGGCCACCACTGAAACCTGGAGGCACTGGACGGCTATTTCGCGCTAGTATGGGGCTACTCAGGGTTATGCATCCACGCACTCGCAAACGGGAAACGAAACCAAAACCTTCAGTCTCGCGCACGAACGCCTAAACTTTAGACCATTGGTACGCCATGTAGTTGTGCTCAAGTCTGACATAGATCCATCCATGATTTTGGTTAAATTCGACAATCTCCATACTGACGACTATCACCTGCTTGCTTAATGACTAGCTTCGACAAGAAACTTCCGTAGTTATATTGAAAAGCCATGACCAGCGGAGCTAAACTGTGACAGGTCTTAAGTAGGTACCCACTTAATACGATGAAATATGGTCGTGCAATATCGTGGATTTATTTAATTTAGACTTGTACACCACTAAATGCAGGCTCAGTAGTGTAGAGGTTAAGCGTTCACGTATGGGTCTGGAAGTCTTGGGTTCTAGATGCATGATGATAAAACGGATCAGAACAAGTCAAACGTTTTGCTAATCCTTTGCACTTGATGAATTTTTCAGCTGTATTAAACGTGTGACAGAAACTGTCATTAAGTTTACTATTAACTTGAAAAATTTAGCTTACAAAATCTAGTTTAGTCAAGTGCATAAATTTCTCATATGCTCCTGGTACAGTCTAAATATATTAGTCTTGCAAAATGATATTGTTTTTCATACACTCTTCATATCTTCTTGAAAACTCTCATCAACTATGGAAAGCGTTTGCAGTCGAAAATGGTTTTCACGCCTTAGAAAAAAGTAATACTGTAGTTAGACATAAACAGGCTTACTAACCACCACTATCATAAAATGCGACGAGCAACAAAACTTTGAAATACGCCACGTTTTTCTTTGCGTCTGGGAAATAAATTTCACTGGGAAACGTTTTTCCGCCAAATAAAACACTTTTCAGCTCCCTCCCTCTTCACTAAGCTTGATTTCATGTTCCCTTCTTATTTCTATTTTTACGTTTCAATTTTCTCGAAAATTAACTATCAATTTTTTATAAGCAAAGTACTCTTTGTTGACGAGCCATCGGTTTACAACATTCTCATCGTAAAAACTGTCATAGCAACTTGTTATTGATGA